GCTAATACATTTAATCCTACTCCAAGATGTGTGGATGGCACTTTCACACACAGTGTTGAAAACAGAACATATCTCTAGCTTCTTCACACATATGAATAAACTCAATATTAAATTTCAAACGGAAAATGAACAAGGAGAATTAGCTATGTTGTTGGATTGTAAAATAAAACGAATAGAAGAAGGTAAACTGCACACTAGCGTTTATAAAAAAACCAACGCATTTTGCTAATGGATATTTAGACTTTAATTCATCTCATCCGTTAACTGTTTAGACAGGCTTAGTTAAGTATCTAACAAACCCAACAGTTGCACTAAGTAGTACAACAAAAAACTTAAATGATGAAATAAAACAGATAGAAGAGGCGTTGGTGTTAAGTAACTATCCTATAAAATTCATTAAGAATATCAAAAAAAGGACAAAAGCAAAATAAAAATAATGGTGAAACTAATAGTGATAACATAAATGAGAAAGAATATAAGGTATCTACAGTAGTTTTACCATATAAGAGGTGGACATCTGAGATGCTGCGTAGTAGGATTCTTAATAAAGCAAGAATTAGAGTGGCATTTAAACGTACAAACTCACTCAAGGACAACCTCTGTAGGTTAAAGGACCCTGTAGGTTGACCCAATTAGACAAAATAATATAATTTACAAAATACCCTGCAATGACTGTGAGTTAAGTCAACAACTAAATAGTTCAAACTAGTAGGTCGAGGGCAGTCAGATTGTCGGAACATAAGAGTTTAGCTAAGGTAAGAATGGCTGACCCCAAGAAGATAAGTAATTTAGAAAAAAGCTCAGCAATTGTACTTGATGCTGATTGGTTTATTGGATCAGATCCCGAGGGTTAAATGATCTACAAGCTCACTTTCTAACCTGAAAGTCCCGGATTCAAACCCTGATTGGTGCATATTCCTGAAGAGTTCTAGGCCAGAACGAAACAGCTGTTGAGAACTTCCTGTTTTCTAATGGTTCTTTGACTGATGTGAACTCGTGATAAAGGCAGAATTATGTCAGTCAAGTTTGGGTTGTAATTAGTGAACCAGGCGACGTGCCATTGTGGTGTAATTTAAATCCATGTTAGGTGAGCAGAGGCCCTGAATCTGGGGTGGATTACTTCTTAGCTCTCGTTGACTATCCATCGATTACCTCCAATTTTTTTTACATTAGTTCAAAGTACAATGAGATGGCATATCACTTCGGTTGTTGATCACATCTCTGACTCAACTTATAAACTTCAGACACACGATATAAATCAATTTACATAAATTTCTATGGAAACCAAATTTTAACTAGAGTGTGTCTGAATTGCTGAGGGGGAATCAACGTATGCCACTCTGTTAACACACTCTTACTTTTTCATCTTTTCCTGTGATTTCATTAGACTGTGAAAATAAAATTGCTTTGATGAACATCTCTGTCTTAATGTATGTTATATTTGCATCTGTGTGATGTAACTTTTCCCCCTGAATAACTGTTCAGTTTGAATAATCGATTAATAATATTGACTGCGTTTCAAGTACAGAGTAGGGCATCAGCATCACATCTCTATGGCGTTGTTTTCCCTGCCATCACTTTGGATTGGCTCCACAATCTATCCCAAGTCTTGATTTCTACGCCACATGATCTCATTTTTGTCACGATCGTTGGCCTCGTATGTGATGTCATTTGAATGCCTCCCCCCCAGAGTATATTCAGTCTATCTCCATTTATTTCCGTACATTTGATGGATGGGAGATAAGTCGTTAGAGGTTCCCCTAGCTGCCGAAGTCCCTTGTTTGCACTTGTTCTCCCTGGCTATCTTATTTTTAGTATCAAGTGATCAACAACAGTCCTTTTCGATGGAACAGTTTGCGAACATACCTCACATATTACTCTCATCAATACTTAGTTTCTCTCTGTTATGAAGACCAGATGGACAGTCAGGGAAAATTAGTGACAAAGAACTCTGGTAGGAAACTATTCAACAACCGAATGGTCAATAAATATGCAAGAGGAAGTGCAGATAGATTGGACATACGCTAAGGAGAATTCAAAGTGATATCACGCTCCAAACACTTAAGTGGAACCCTAAACAGACGATAATATAGAAGGTCATGTGAGGAAGAAATCAAAACTCGTAGTCATTCATGGACTCAGCTGAAAGCTGTCTCTAATCTCAAATGAGGCAAAGCAGCTTAACCTGATGGAATGACTCCAGAAGTGTTTAAGGATGGAGGAGAAAATTTACTGTCTGGGTTGACCAAGGTAATAGGCAGTGTCTGAGAATCAGAGCTAGTCCCGTTGGGTTGATTATCACGGTATACAAGAAGGGAGACAATTGTTCTTGTGATAATCACAGGTGGTTTAAGTTGACCAGAATGGTATCTAAGTTTCTATACTTAATAATCATGCGTAGACTAAGTGGTGCTCTGAAGAAAGAAACACGAGAAAATCAGGCAGGCTTTGGACCATGAAGAGGGTATATTGACCATATCTTCACCCTCCGACAGATTCTGGGACACAGGAATACTTACAGACATCCAATAATTGCCATTTTTTTTACCTGAAGGCTGTATTCGATTCTGTCCACTAGGAAATAGTATGGAAAATTTTAGTCGTGAAGGGAACGTCGAGCAAATCCATCTAACTGATCGGGACACTCCACTCGAACTCATGGAAGCAGGTAACCGTCTACTGAGAGTTTTTATCTGGAGTGATGACAAACAATGGTATCCATCTGGGATTTCCACTGTCCCCGTTTCCGTTTACTTTCATCATCACTTCGGAAACTCAGGGATTGACTTGTTACTAGGGAATAATAACCCTGAGGATTATCAGTTTTCGAATGTTTGGAATGCTAACTGCTCCTGTCATATGTAAGATTATGCTAAATGACTGAACTACGTTGACTCCTAGGTTTAAAACAAGGAGTGAGGCAGTTGATGGAGAATACTGACCACTTCAGTTACTTGGGAAATTACATCAACCCTAACAGCCTTATTAGTGACGAATTCTCAGCACCGTTACGGAAGGCTCGTTTGGCATGTGCCATCTCTGGCGTAAGCACGATATCCGGCTGGCCATCGATGAAAGGCCGTGTGTATTGCTCAGTAGTTCTCTCCATCAACCTTTATCACTGTGAGTGGGACACGGCCAGTGAAAGTGAAAGACATGAAATTTTTGCTAGCTGTCTTTGATTATATGTACCTGTGTCCTATCTGCCACCTAGCCATCGCCTTCCTCGACAGTCAATGTTAGCTGAGATAGGATGGACCAGGTTGGAAAAGAGCTAGTGGTTATCAGACCAAAACATGACTTCATCAGACAATGAAATCCATAAGAATTAGTTTAAGCCACATAAGTAGGAATAGGTTTCCCGGTTGGAATCCTTCTAATTCTAAAAACCAGTGACTGCAAACAATGGCAGATATGGTTGAAAATTGTTTTCAGTGTCGTAGATGCATTCACTCTTTGTAATGTCTTATATCAGTCAAGTTTTATGTTTCTCTATGCTAATGTTATCTATTGCAGACGTTTCTTTCTGTTACAGTTCTTGTAAATCCCTCTTTACCCCTCTCTCTCGCTTTGCATAGGCCACATGGAGAGTGGTGACTGGAATTGCTGTATTTCTGTGTTGAAACCAGTCAGTCAGACAGCGGCGAACCAAGAGAAGCATGCAGATATGCTGCTGCAGTCTTATATCGCATTCGTAATGTAAGGAATTTCGTCCCATTTGGGACTCGTCACTGGATGCATCTAAATTCCACAGTAAGTGACAGTATTCCCTCCAAGATTCAAACCCAGTGCCATTAGTTTCAAATGTTAAAGTGTTATCCACTAGACCACTTGTGCCACCTCTTGTGCAACCAGTCTTATTAATTATTTGATTGAACTGGGGTGCTCAGTCTCAGACATCGTCGAATTATCTACACAAGCAGCCGATATGTCAACCTGAAACTGAGCACTTCAGTCCAATCAATCGATGGGAAAATCCGAAATGAATTAAATAATACCCCAGTTTTGTGTTCGAAAAATAGGCATAAACTACTTTCCTAATTTCACCTCCTCTATGTTTATCTACCAGTCTGATTGCTCTCTTGCAGATACTGAGCGTAAAGTTGGTATTAATACAGAATTTAAAGCACTTATCGTATTATGACTGATATTAATTTTTCTTTACGAGTTCATCTTCTTAATCCCCCTAAATTCATCGGAAGTCACTTGAAGAAGCCAGACCTGTGTGTTCAGAAGAAATTCGAACAACCATTTCTATTACTTTGTCCATCATCACATGAATGTAAAACATTGACAATTTCCCCTCCCTCTAGGCCTTTAATAATTTATAATCAGTTAGAGAACCACTGAAAATTACCACAAGGTACTACACACCTTTTTCGACTTCGTTTGGGACCCGTCAGCAATACGTGCCACCGGGGTTTGGACTCAGGACCTTCCAGTTACAAGGCAAGCTTGTAGAACATTCAGCCACTGCTCATGAAATCCTACTTCTACCAATACGTGAATTTAGCGTGGCCACCATCCAATGTCAATGGAAGCGAGTATTTGTCCTCAGTCGCGACAGGATGGACAAGGTGAACCTGGATTTAAACTTTCGTGGGTCTTTGATGCTGATGGGTCCCAAACCAGGACGAAGCAGCTCTCCAGTACTCTGTGGTTTTCAGCGGATCGATAGATGGATAGATTTACATAGCAGAACCACAGCTGAGGATCTTAATACACAGAAAATACGTAAACGAGCTTACGTTGTAACCGGAAGGTCCTGGGTTCAAAACCCAGTGGGTGCGTACTGCCGATGATTCCCAAACTAGGATGAAACAGAAGCTGTCCAGTACTCCCTGGTTTTCAACGGTTCTCTAACTGATATCAGTCCGTGATCAACTCGTAAAAACATAACAAACCCTTACAAACCAAATTATAGAAAATATTAGGCCGCTCAATCTTTTTGTTCTTCTAAGAACAATATAACTCTACTACATTTTTAGTAACTCACTCACCTGTAATTGATTCGTAAACTTTTTCGTAGCTGAATCTTGAATCCGTCTACCCATTACAAGCCATTTTTGATTTGGCAATGAATGTGCCATACGTCCACTAGTATATGGCAACAATGGATTACACGATGAACAGCCTAGAACTAATTCTGTTATACCGTCTAAGTCATGAAGACGTGAATTCCTCGGCCTTCGACGTCTTTTCTCTCTTGATTTACCACCATTATCTTGTTGTTGTTGTTGTCTCCATTCACTTTCTTCATTCATTGAATTGATTGACTTTGACTTCATCAGATATTTCGATTGATATCGATCTTGGATGGATGATCTTCGATGAGTGGGTAACTTTAAATCTCTAGCCACTCGCATATGATGATGATAATAGTATCGATTGTTATTAATATTATCATCACCATTATCATCATTATTGTTATTGTTGTTATTATTGTTATAACGTCTTCGTCGACTGTTTCTTTTTCTACGATATTGATCAATACTACTCAACTGGGTACCATCATTACGAATCAATTTTAGGGCTAAAGTTCTTGGTGTAAGATTGAGTATAATTGAGGCTTGATTTGGTTGTAATACCATGTCTTTAATAGATGCCTTGAGAACTGAAAAAAGAGAAAATCAATAAGAATAATCAATAGTATGGATATGTATATTGATCAATAATTTAATATGAAAGTGTCCTGAGCGTGAGTCCAATTCATTTACATTTTCGTTTGCATATTTATCCGTTAGTAGTTCCCTGTTTAGTTCTCTAAACTGTCAGAGTTCTTTGTTGCTTACACTTTCTGGCCAGTCGGTCATTTGTTCTTCAATATGCAGCGGAAAATCTACACTAGTCTGTTGGAAATGCTTTTCTTGACGTGTACACCACCTGTCTGAACCACCTAGGAGCACTGAGTGGACATTGGACCTCAATCTTGCTCTTAATACTGATCGCCGCAGATCTCCACGCTGATTTTTAGAGAAACGAATGAATGCCTTACTTATTCGACTCTAGCTGACGTTGACATCCCCATCTGCGCTGAGCAGTCAGGTAAGCGAGAGAGATGACTTCCATTAGATTCCGTTTGCTGGTGTTCACTGGCGTCTGTTGTTGTACGTTAGGTGCTTGTATCATAAGACTAGTATATATGTCCAAACCAAGTTCACTTTTAGCAGTTTGGAAAAATTTGGGCATTGGGTATATGATATTCATCGTAATAAAGATGTTTTTGTATTTCCCAATGAATTAAAAACAAAACGATATTGTTGTTTCTACTGACGTTTCGCTCTTTAATGCCACATATAGCTTTATCAATGTATCATTGTTAAACCAGAATTTACAAAGTCTCAGCTTATATATAACAACTTAATCATCGTTCATCAGCATGGGGTCATTTTTGCGTTGGTAAAAATGACAAAACCTGGTGTGGATTGTTGGATTTGATAAGTGTATAAAATTATAAAAGTAGCGTGTGTTTACATAATGAAATTGCTTATCATATTCGTGTTGATTTTGTCATTTCATGGAGGATGCGGGGTGGTATTGTAACCAGGTCAGATTCTGTTTTAGTCCATCATTCCTATTCAGACAATTTGGATTCCGTTTGATATGAAGTGCTTCTGATATTAGACGTCCTTTGTAATTTCTGAAATGCTTTTTCTGGATTATTTCAATATTGTCAAAATCAATTTTGTGGCCTGATTCTATGACTGATGATTTTTCAAGCTTTTCTAGTTCAATTGGATTTCTCGGTGGCGGCACAGAGTTGGCTCTACGGTGTTCATTTCTTCTAATTTCGTTGCTTCACGGTGTGTCTGTTGTTTTGAGGTAAAGTCTGATGTCGACCTTATCGAGTACTCTTCTGATATCGTCTTACGTCTCCGCTCTATATGGAATGACAATTGTTGAGGTCCATTTTTTTCGGAATACGTTTTCGACCATACTTAATGTCAGTGTTGATTTTGTTGATGAAGTTCTTTGGGTAGTTATTTTACTTGAGAGTCTCAGTAATGTTTGATATTTCTTCTTTTTCTTTCTCATCCGTTATCAGAGAGTGTGCTCGTCTAAGAAGACTTGAAACAGCTGATACCTTTGCGCTGATGGGGTGTGATGATTTGAAGTCTAAATATTTATTTGAGTGGGTTTTCTTCCTGAATATAGATATACTAAAATGTCCATTTTCCCTCCTCTTAACTAGTCTAGAAATGGCAATTCACGGACGTCTGATTCTGCTTCCGAAGTAAACTGGATTCTAGGAGATAGATTGTTTAGTTTCTTCAAGAATGAACTGTGTAGATCTCGTTTTAGCACTACAAAAGTATTATCTACATATCTTAGCCATATTTTAGGAGTGAGTATACTTGAAAAGATGTTATCTTCGAATCTATTCATTAAAAGATCAGTGACTATTGGGGAAACTGGTGAACCCATAGCAACATCATTTGTCTGTTCATATAAATTCCCTTTCTAGACAGAATTTCAACCTCCTAATTATTTCACCGGTACCCAGTGGACATCTTTTTGATAGTGTTGTATCTGATTCTAGTAGACTGAAAATGATATCAAGACTTTTGGTAGTGGGGATACTCGTATATAATGAGTTAATTTTATCATAGCTTACCATAATGTCTTCCTAATCAAATTCTTGGTGTTTTATTTGGGATCTTAAATCATAGGCTTAGTGTTGCGTCACCACACAGCCAAGGGGACAACTGCATGAGGCCGGTCACACACGGCCTGTATGAGCTGGTTTCTTAATTTAGTTCCGTATTAGTAAACTTACCCCGGTTACGGACCACCGGAGGGGATGTACAATTTCTGGGGTTGATCTTTTCTAACCCCCTCTCTCTAGAGTGGACAGACAGCATAGCTGGCATGCTGGTCATCTGAGGGTAACACCTCACTGTAAGATTCTTACACTATGCCGGTAACTGCTTTTAGTCTAATCGCTATCCTAACAATCTTCCTGGCATGGTAGGACCTGCAGGAGCATTGGTTCCAGCCGGTGTACCTTGTTGGGTCATTGCGATGTGTAAGCTCGACCACAACCACGTCAAGGTAGCAGCTATCTGAAATCATATGAATCTTTTACAAAATATTGAGTATCCCTTTGCAGTGGTTGTAGTGATAATACTTTGATAAAGCTATTAGCAGCAGCATTAAATAGCGATTATTGTTTCCTTCAATTCCTAGAGGAACATAGGACTTCAGCCGTGCGTCTCCATTGCGTTCGGTTCTCTGCTAGAGTCTTCACCTGGCTCCAAGTCTGCTCACACGTTTTCATCCCCTCTTCACATCACCTCCTGCTCCATGTCACCCTAGTAATGACGACAAACTCGCCGCTTCCCTTTCAAGTTCCACTCGAGCAATGGCTTGTTTAGTGATGTCACTTGATGCATTGTTTCCTCAGAGTATGGCCAATCCATCTCCATTTCTTCCTGCCTATTTGTTTCACAATCGGTTCCTGCTAAGTTGGTTCGCTTCCAGAGATCCCTCCCTGTTGCTGATCTTTTCTAGCCGGCCATCTGATCTTGAGTAGTATTGAGTGAAGACAACTGTTAATGAATGTCTGTAGTTTGTTTGAGATGCTCTTTATGACGCGCATTGCAAGTCTCTGATCCGTATAGTGAGTAGCACTGACTGACTTCACATTGGAGTTGAAAATCCAGATCTTATTTTTGATGCTGAGTGGTGTCAGTAAAAACAGCAATATCGTTTTGTTTTTCATTTATTCATTCATTGGGAAATACAAAAAGAACACCTTTATTATATAATGTACATCTGGTAAGTTGTGCAACACAGGTTTACAACGAATTTATTACAGACTGATTTAATTTAATTTAAAATTCCACTTGAATTTTAATTCACCCCTAATACATAATAATAATAATAATGACAATAATGATAATAATAGAAAGAAGGCAACTTTTGTGACTATTACTCACCCACATCAGCCATACAATAAGAGCTTGCAATATTTTCCAGTGTTATTGCCTGTTCACACGGAACACATGTTACAGCTGACGAAAAGAAACAAAAAAGAGAAGAAAACAGAGGAAGAAAGAGGTACAGTAGAATTGAGAGAGAGAGAGAGGATGATGCAAGCGATGACGATGAATTGAATAAACAGGTGTGTGCATGTTTGCGTGTCTTATACATTCACTTAAATCCTCGCTCTCTTCATTTTCCTTGCTAAACAAGTGAAGTGGTATATTATTCAATGTACTGCCACTATTATTATTATTAATTAGTCTTTCGCGTTCCAAATGGAACAAAGGGTGATATTTTAACGCCATAGACTTGCTAGCCTCACCTCCAATCTTCCCAAGTTACCGGGCTTCCTACTGGTTAAGCAGAGAGATTAAGCGATGTGACAATTAGGAACCGAAGCAAGGATCACACTGGCGTAACGTGTATAGTCAAATTATGTATACCTTATATTCAAAGCATCATTTGCACAAATCTTTTATGCTGTGGTACTTCTGGCCTTCACACTGTGTTTTTTGTGTTTTTTTCACGTCTCCCGTGTATTTCCACAATGCTTTGTCATTTGTCTTCTCTGACTTCTAATCTTTCGCCCTGCTATTTGGTGCTTTTATACCGATGAATGTCTCTTTATATACTACTGATAAATCTTATCAGTAGCACTCGCCACAATATATATATCTGGATAAGGTAGATATAAATAACACGAACTTACTGGAACATCAACTGCTGATCAGGCAGGGAAATCGAGGTATTCTACTATCGACAAATTATTTTATTTTATAGCATTCTTAACTCAACCTATTTATCATCAACGCAATGTATCTGAATCCTCAGGACTAGAACCCGGCACTAATCCTTTTTAGCACACCATGAATTTCACAGCTAACCAGCTGTGCAGCTCAACAGTCCGCTCCGTCCTCCTTTATGGCTGTGAGACCTGGCCATTGAGAGCAGAAGACATGAAAAGATTGGCTGTCTTCGATCATAGGTGTCTGCGTTCTATCTCCCGCGTGAAGTGGTATAATAAGGTGAGCAATATTGAGGTTAGGCATCGAGTGCTGGGTAAGGAGGGGAAATCAGTTGACGAGACTGTGAAATTACATCGACTGAGATGGTTAGGACATGTGTTACGTATGCCTAGTCATCGCCTTCCTCAACGGGCAATGTTAGCTGACATAAGGTCAGGCTGGAAAAGAGCTAGTGATGGTCAAACCAAAACATGGCGCCAGTCAATGAAATCCACAACAGTTAGTCTAAGCAACGTAGGAAGATGTAGACTTCCTGACTGGTTGGGGTCCTCGGGATGGTAAAAACCAATGTTTGGAAACAATTGGTGACATGACTCAAAATCGTTCTCAATGGGTGGCGCAGATGCATCCACTCCTTGTGACTTATGATTTCCAATAAAACTGTTTTGTTCTTCGTTATTACTATTCCTTTATCTCACACCTCTGTTTGCTGTATCTAGTATGCATTTCTCCTACTTTCTTCTCTTGCTTTGTGTGCTACAAGGAGGGATTGTGGTGATTTGAACTGGCGCACATATGTGCAAAGTTCTGTGTCGAAAACCGACTGACAGCTAACCAGCATCAATCAAATACAAGCGTATTAACCTTCAGAATTCTTAGTACCATCTACAATAGGAGGCGGTACATCATCACAGATCGAGCATTCTGATTCAATAAGAACCAATCGACGGGAAATAGCAAGTAATTTAAACAAATAATGATTTCTGACCTTGAATGGGAATTATCGGGATTATGGACCCACTGGGGTTCGAACCCAAGACCTTTCGGTTACGAGGCAAGCTCGTATACCATTGAGTCACTGGAACGTTCCGGATAAACGTAGAGAAGATGGAGGTGGTGAAGATAACCAACCGACAAACCAACAGCAACAACAACCAACAGCACCAATCACTATCAATGGGAGAGATTTAACAGAGGTTAACTCTTTCACTTATCTAGGCAGCCAGCATAGTTTCAACGACAGGCGGAAGGGTTAAAGATGTCAAAAGCCAGTAAGGATCGGAAAGAGGAGATAACCCTTCATCAACCTGAAACCAATTTGGAAATTTTCTGCACTCAAAATAAGGAACAAGATTCGAATTTTCAACACCAATGTCAAGTTAGTCCTTCTATTTGGGTCAGAAACTTGGCCAGCACGTTACGGTAAGGATTTCCAGAGGGTTTCAGACTTTCACCAACAGCTGCCACCTTCAGTGGCTCCATAATGAAGATCAAATGGCCAGAAAGAATTACTAAAAAGAAACTGGCTGGCTGGGAACAAACTAACAAGCCAGAGTCGATCGCTCAACAAATGTGTAAGAGAAAATGGAGATGGATTGGTCGGGCATACATTGAGGAGACAGTTGAATGACATCAAGCACTGGGCCCTCAAGTTTAATCCCGATGGAAAGCGACCAGTGGGTCATCCTATGAGATTCTGTGAGGAAGAGGTGAGAAATTTTGGGAAGTCGTGGGCCTAGCTGAAGAGGATGACCGAAAATAGGACAAAGTTGATATGTTACAGGATTTTCATTGTGAGCTGACATTAGTTAGAGAACCACTGGAAAACCTGAGAGTACTGGACAGCTGTTTCGTCCTAGTTTGGGACTCTTCAGCAGTACACTCGCCGGGATTCGAACCCAGGACCTTCTGGTTTACAAAGCGAGGTCTTATACCACTAAGCCACTGGGACCCGATCCAATGCCCCATGAATTCTAACTTCTGCCAATTCACGACATAGCGCGACCCCTGGCCAATATCTTTCCAATGGTTCTCTAACTAATGTCACCTCATGATGAAAATCCCGTAACCAATCAAATCCTTGCAAACCAACATTTGAAAGTTGATATGTGTTTTTTGAAGGTGTATGATGTTCCATTCGGAACATAAGGGGAAAATACTATTAAATGACTACTAACAGTCTGCAAGTGTCCTGTGAGTATTGCTTGATATAATCAGTGCTCAACCGACGCATATTTTAACCTCACTTAGCTAGTAGTAAGACTGGTAAAGAGGGAAGGATGAACGTGAGTCGAGTAACCCAATTCCACACAAAAACATCACTGGTGCTGAAACTTAATGGCTGAAGCTTGAAGACTTATGTTCCACTGGAAACGTGAAGGAATTAAAAAAATCGTATCAGTGTATTCACACGACTTCCTAACTTCCTTTGTCAAGCTTTACTCTTTCCTGTTATTTAAATACAATGTGCTATATATTAGGGATAGATGTTGCATCATTTCGACTGCACATATCTGGTGTTCATTGGATGAACAAAGATTCGATGATTAACTCCTCTCTCCATCTAACTATATTACTTCTTAGTACTTTTGTTCTGTCTCATTCTATTATGCGATTACATGCAGTTGGATAAACATCGAAATTCAGTCATTTTTCAGATAACTTAACCTAGTGGGTTCCATCATCCTAGATCTAGCTAAATAGCAATGTTCGGGTAATCTGACTGAACACGATCCACAAGTGGCCTCACAGCCATTAAATGATATTTCCTAGATTATTCAAGTATTGGTTTGTAGTGACTTGATTGATTGGTTACCAGACTTCATCATGAGCTGACATCAATAAAAGAACCAGTGGAAAATCTTCAGAAGGTACTGGACAGCTGTTTCGTCCCAGTTTGGTACTCTTCATCTGAAGATATTGGCTAGTGATCGTTCTATGTTGTGAATTGGAAGAAGTTGGAATTTATTCAGTGGTCATCAGATAAGGTCTCACTGGCCTAATGGTCTACGAAATCGCATCGTAATCAGAAAATCCTGGATTCAAACCGTAGCGGTAGGTAATTACTGATGAAGAGTCCAAAACTGGGATAAAGCAACCAGCTGTCCATTACTCCCTGCAGCTCTTCCAGTGGTTCTCTGACCGATTTCCTAGATGATATTATTTTTCCCAAATGAATCTATCGTGTCCTTCAGCCAATATGTTTTGAATACCACTACAAATCCAGCCTTATTAGGAATGTTACACGGAGCTTGTAATATTCCTCCTCCATATATCTGCACTACCGAGGCTCTGAATTCCCTGAGACTCATAGTTTTTCCATCATTTACAGCACTGCTCCCATTCTTAGTATACTTCCTGATAAACCTTTTAACGAATTCTTACGAGTGATCACGCAAGGGTTTTCTCACCAACAAAATCAATTGTTGGTTACAGTATTTCATCATGAGCTCAGATCGGTTACAGAACCATTGGAAAACCTGGGAGTATTGGACAACTGTTTCGTCCTGGTTTGGGACTCTTCATCGGTAAGCACCCACCGGGGTTCGAACCCAGGATCTTCTGGTTGCAAGGCGAGCTTGCATACCATTAAGCCTCTAGGACCCTATCCAATGGCCAGTACATGAATTCTAACTTCTGCCAATTCACGACATAGCGCAACCGCTAGCCAGTGTCTTCGGTGAGTATTTGTCCTCACACCCGACCTGCTGCCCACAACTGGTCAAGACTTCTCACTGGAACCCGAGAGAATTACCTACCTGAATAGGGCCAGTCGACAATGCGTACCGATGAAGAGTCCCAAACTAGGACGAAACAGCTGTCCAGTACTCCCAGGTTTTCCAATGGTTCTCTAACTAATGTCAGCTCATGATGAAATACTGTAGCCAATCAATCAAATCCTTACAAACCAATACTTGAAAATCAATTGTTATTTAATTCAACTTTAGATTTTCCCGTCGATTGATTGGACCGAAGTGCTCAGTCTCAGGTTGACATGTCAGCTTCTTGTGCAGATGCTTCGACGATGTCTGGGCATGTAATTACAAGTTAATGGTTAGATGGTCACGATCAGTAGAATCCGGGACACTACGCATTTCGTCCTATTTGGGACTCATCGACTGGATGTACCTGCATTCCGGAGTGAGTGATGATGTTCCCACTGACGCTCGGACCCAGTGCCCATGGTTTCAAACGCCAAAGCGTTGTGCACTAGACCACTTGGCCCACGACAGCCACCTCTTTTGCAACGAGTCATATTAATCATTTAATTCAGTTTTAGATTT